GGCCCAGGATCGGACATTGTTTCATTCTGCTGTGCATGGGGTCGCTATGAGTCGGTTCCGACTCGATGGCACCTGACAACAACAACAATATGCTTCAATAAAAAATAAAAGTGTATAGACCTAGACAGAGATGTTAAGAAACAATAGCTGCACAGTTTCATGTTGTTGTTTGACATTTTTGTTTAATAAAGGTTTCCATGATTTTGTAAAAAAAAGAATGAAAAAAAAAGAAAAAGTAGATGGAAGGGACAGTGGTACCAGGAGTCTCGTGGCCGCGGCGCCATTACTCGCAGTCAGCATTGGTGGCACAGCGCACACCACACCCTGCACCTTAGCAGCAGAGACACCCCCGCCATCACAGCCCCTGCCCTGGTGCAGCCACCCTTGCTCCCTCTGTGCTTCCCCTTTCGCTGGCACCCTGGCTGATCAACTGACCGAAGAGCAGATTGCTGAATTCAAGGACGCTTTCTCCCTATTCGATGAAGATGGCGATGTTACCATCACAACAGTGGAACTTGGGACTATTGTCATGAGGTCACTGGGTCCCAACAGAAGCGGAATTACAGGATATGATCAGTGAAGTAGATAGACACCGATGGTAATGGCACCATTAACTTCCCTGAGTTTTTGACGATGATGGCTAGAAGGATGAAAGACAGTGAAGAAGAGATCCGTGAGGCAGTCTGAATCTTTGACAAGGATGGCAACGGTTACATCAGCGCGGCCAGACTATGCCACGTCATGACAAACTTAGGAGAAAAACTAACAGATGAAGAAGTAGCTGAAATGATCAGAGAAGCAGGCATTGATGGGGACGGACAAGTCAACTATGAAGAATTTGTACAGATGATGACTGCAAAATGAAGACCTACTTTCAACTCCTTTTCTCCCCTCTAGAAATATCAAATAGAATCTTTTACTTATCTCTAGAAGAAAAAAAAGTTCGTTTATTCATTCTGTTTCTGTATAGCAAAACTGAATGTCAAAAGTACCTTCTGTCTCACACATATACACACATACACACCCACACAATCTGCATGTATTGGTTGGCGGTCCTGTCCCCAAAGATCAAGCTACACATCAGTTTTATAATAGAAATAACTTGTCCTACCGTAACGCTAAGGCAGCACTTAGTGGGCTCCCTTCACGTTCATTTGCTGATGACGAACGCACTGTGTGGGCTGACCAGTCTCCACGCATACAGCCAGACGACTGGGCGCATGAAAAACACAAATGAAACAAAAATGGAAAAAAAACCTGTCCAAATGGATTCTAGTAGAATTCGTCAGCATGAATTGTCAAAGCTGGTAGACCAAAACCAAACACATTTGAAATTGGTTTACCTCAGGACGCTATGCAGAGAAATGGGTGAAGGCTAACCGTTTGAGACGTAGCCCAGCAGGGAGGATGGTCCTCTTGTATACTGTCCCTGTGCTCCCACCCATGGTGACAGTGACATGCTGTTGGCATTCGGGCCTGCGTATGCTGGTTTAGTATCTGCATTGTGCTAGAGTGACCACCCGGGTGTCTGGCTGTCACCGGCCACATAAATTTTAAAAAGAAAAAGAAACCTTTACCAAGGGAGCATCTTTGGACATTCTCTTTTTTTTTTTAAATAAAAACAATCACCTTCTGAACCATGACTTGGAGCCAGCAGAGTAGGCTGTGGACTTCAGCACAACCTTCACCATTGCTGTTCAAGAAATGACCAGTTACGTCCATTCCAAGTTGTAAATGCTACTCTTTTTTTTTTTTTTTCCCAATAAAAGACCATTAACTTAAAAAAAAAAAAGTAGATGGATGGAATGCACAGACACTGTACCAAAATGAGATGGTCAGTGTTCAAGCATTTCAAGAGGTAGCATATGATCAAGAGCCAATGATACTGAAGGAGGAAGTCCAAGGTACATTGAAGGCATTGGCAAAGAAGAAGGAACTGATGGAATCCAAATGGAAACCTTCCAACAAACTGATGCAGCACTGGAGGCACTCACTCATCTACGCCAAGAAATTTGGAAGACCGCTACCTAGCCAGTGTTTGTACCTATTCCAAAGAGTTAACCCAACAGAAAGCATAAATTATTGGACAGGATCATTAGTATTGCATAAACGTAAAATTTTTCTGAAGATAATTCAAAAACAGCTGCAACCACACATTAACAGAGAACTTCCAGAGGTTCAAGCTGGATTCAGAAGAGGACCTACTAGATGGTTTTCCTAGTGGGTTTTCCCATTTTGCATTCCCAGCAGCAATGTAAGATGGTTTTGATCTCCTCACATCCTTGTCAACGCTTACTACATTGGATTCTCGCCATCCTCGTGGGTATGAAGTGGTGTCTCGTGGTATTGATTTGCATTTTTCTAATGACTAATGTTGAGCATTTGCTCATATGCCTATTGACCATTTGTATTCCTTCCTTGGAGAAATGTTTTGTAGAAATTCAAGTCCTTTGCTCGTTTTTTAAATAGTCTTATTTGTCATTCTTTTATGTATAAACATTAGTGTTCATTGCGTCAAATCTGTTCCTGAGATGCTGTCTAAATTTAGGGCTATACTCAAGCTTGTAGTGTGGCTGTCTTGGACATCTTTAAATTTCTTAGACTTTGTGTGAACTTGTATATGAGTAATGATATTCTGTTTGATGGTTGGCCCAAGCCCTGTTTTGACTGGTACTGAGTTTATCTTCTCTTCCCATAGATGTAGTCAGTTTGATTCCTGTGTATTCCATCTGGTGAGGTCCATGTGTATATTCGCTGTTAAATTGTTGAAAAGGTATTTGAAATGAGTAAATTGTTAGTTCTGCGAATTTTTATCATGTGATCTCCAACTAGTTTCTTTCACCAAGCCCATATTTTCCAACTACTGATCCTTCCTTTTGTTTACAACTTTTATATTCCAGTTACCAGTAACTCTCTGCACCTTGATTGCAGGTTTGGTAAACTTCAGACTGAAGTTGATGTTATTGTTAGGTGCCATCGAGTCGGTACCGACCCATAGCTACCCTGTGCACAGCAGAACAAAGCACTGCCCGGTCCTGGGCCACCCTCACCACTGTTGCCACGCTCGAGTCCATTAATGCTGCCACTTGGCCAATCCATCTCACTGGGAGTCTTCCTCTTTTTCTCTGACCCTCCACCTTACCAAACATGATATCCTTCTCCAGCGACTGGTCTCTCCTGACAATATGTCCGAAGTATGAGAGACGAAGTTTGGCCACCCTGGCCTCCAAGGAGCACTCTGGCTGCACTTCTTCCAAAACAGATCTATTGGTTCTTTTGGCAGTCCATGGCACTTTCAATATTCTCCTCCAACACCACAACTCAAAGGCATCAATTCTTCTACGATCCTCCTTATTCACTGTCCAGCTTTCGCATCCATATGAGGCTATTGAAAACACCATGGCCTGGGTCAGGTGCACCTTAGTCTTCAAGCTGACATCTTTACTCTTCAACACTTTAAAAAGGGCTTGTGCAGCAGATTTGACTTCATCATCACTAGGTTTAATGGTTGGTGTGTAAATTTGAATACTAGTTGTATTAACTGTTCTTCCTTTTGGTGGTGTGCCTTGGAGTCTCATAGCAACCCTGCATAGGGTTTCCAAGGCTGTACATCTTTATGGTAGCAGAAAGTCTCGTCTTTCTCCCACGGAACAGTTGGTAGTTTCGAACTGCTGACCTTGAGGTTAGCAGCCCGACTCATAACCACTATGCTACCAGAGCGCCTTGTAGGCCTATGAATATTATCCTCCCACAGACAGCATTGTACTTCAAGATAGATCTTGAAATGTTCCTTTTGATGATGAATGTGATGACATTCCTCTTCAATGTATTATTCTCGGCATAGTAAACTGTATGATTGTCAGATTCAAAATGGTCAATTCCAGTCCATATCAGCTCACTAGGATATTGATCTTTATGCATTCCATTTCATTTTTGACAACTTGCAAGTTTCCTAGATTCATACTTCATCCAGTCAGTGTTCTGATGACTGATGAATGGATGTTTGCAGCTGTTTCTTCTCTGTTTGCGTTGGCTCCCATCCGCAAATTAACTCCATCCACATCATCACGGTCAACTCTACTTTGAGGAGGTCTCTCATTCCCAGTTGTGTTTTGGGTGTTCCTTCCAACCTGAGGGGCTCATCTTCCAGCACTGTGTCACACAGTCTTTCTCTGCTGTTCGTAAGATCACCAGTGGTTAATCCCCCACATGGACTCCTAGTGTGGTGCTGTAGGATAAGCAGTTCAAATCCACCAGCTGCTCCTTGGAAACCCTACACACAGTTGCTATGAGTCAAAGCCGAGTTGACGGCCCTTAACAATAGCCCCCCAGATTGGAGTCCTGGTGTGGCGCTGTGGAATAAAGCACTGGACTGCAAGGTCAGTTAGAACCACAAGGTTGGTGACTCAAACTCACCAGCCGATCCTTGGAAACCCTATGCAGGGTCGCTGTGAGTCAGAACCAACTTGACGGCCCTTAACAACAGTAACAGCAGCAGTGCCCCAGGAGTGGACTGGCTATTCCCTTTCCTGGTCTGTTCCTAGTTTGGAAGCTTTGCTGTAACCAGTCCACCATGGGTGCCCCTACTGGTATCTGAAATCCCAACGACACAGCTTCCAGCATGACAGTACGACAACCTGACAGACGAGTGGTGGATAGTCTGCGTAGGACTGTTGACTTCTGTGCTTTGCTTTGCTTCTTATTTGCCCTGCTTGATCTCATGATGTTTCAATGTGTAATGTGAGTCTTGTGTTCAGTTGGAAACCATCTTAGACATCCTGTCCTCGCACTAGGCCCACTTACTCCAAAGGTCTTTCTCTCTTCGGGGACCACTGGGTATGTGACAGCACTTTCCAGGAGCTTCTGTGGCTCGTCCTTGGAGCTCTTTCCCTTGTTCTTGAGGCCTTTTCCTGTGCTAGGTCTCCTTCTCCTCGCCATGACCACTCTGTTCCTGCTGCTCTGTTATAAACAAGAACAGGTCACAGATAAGAAATGCAGAGCATGCTGCCTGGGCTTTTGTGGTGGAACCGTCCGGGTGAATGCTTGGCTAGGACCCCCACCACTGTCCTGACCTGAAGCTGACCTGTCCACTGGCCTGAGACACGCTTTAGGAAGAGTCCATGTCTGTGACACTCTGCCTTGCCTTAGCCCAGAAACCTGGAAGCAGATGGTTAAGTTGCAACACTCAGGGGGCTGGTGGTGGTGGTGGTGTGGCCATCGTGTTGGCTCAGACCCACAGATACCCCGTATAGGGTTTCCAAGACTGTAAATCCTAATGGAAGCAGAAAGACTCATCTTTCTCCCACAGAGTGCCTGATGGATTTGAACTGCTGCCCTTTGGTTAGCAGCCCAGCACCTAATCTACTGCATTACCAGAACTCTGTCGTGGAGCCTGGTAGTGACTCCAAAGCTGTGCAGCGCCTGTATCAGCCAGCCCTGCTCTTAGAACTGGGTGATGGTGGGGCCCGAGGGTGAAGCACCTCCATTTCCCAGGGCCCATCTGTGTGTCTCCCAGTATTCCTTCAAAGTGTCTGGGCCATTAAAGCCCCCTTTCCGTGTTCTCTAGCTCTGGGGCACATTCTTTTCTAAGTTGAATTCTGTGCTGTCGTTTCAGTGGGCTTCGTGGTGCTTGTTCTCGCTCTGTGCTATCAGGTTGGTTCTGACTCACAGCGCCCCCATGTGACAGAGGAAAAGGGTCCCAGGGGGGTTTCTAGGCTGACATCTATTGTGTCAAAATATACTCTTACATGTCATCCCCCATGTGACAGAGGAGAACTGCCTCAGGGGGATTTCTAGGCTGTCATCTATTGTGTCACTATAGACTCATATGTACTCTTACATGTCATCACCGTGTGACAAAGGAGAACTGCCCGGGTGGGTTTCCATGGCCGCCATCTATTGTGTCACTATATACTTGTATATACGCTTATATATCATCCATTCACAGTGTCCCCGTGTGACAAAGAAGAACTGCCCGGGTGGGTTTCCATGGCCGCCATCTTTACAGAAGCAGGCTCTCAGGTCTTTAGCCTGTTGAGCTACTGGGAGGCTTCAAACTGCTGACCTTTCTGTTAGAAGCTAAGCTGTGCCCTTTGGGAGCATGAGTAGGTACATATATGGCTCAGATGACCAACTTGGAACTTGTACCTTCACAATTACCTTCCTGAATCAAAGAGCCGATTCATGGAGAGGAACATGAAGGCCCCTTCCCACATCGTACAAGTCTGGTGTCTTTTAGTCCAGCCACTTCCATAGTTCTGTTGTCTCCTCAAACAGAAGCCTGCTTCCTGCTCTAGAACAGCTATAGCTTGCTCTAGGCCCTTGTGTATTTTGCTAAAGTGGTCCTGGGTGAGAGCTGGTGGGAGGAGGCAGGGAGGGGCGTGTTGTAGGTTGTTAAGAAGATTAAGGTGTGTTTGCTTAGGGATTACATGAGAATGACATCCTTTCTTAAAACTTGTTAGGTGCCATCAAGTTAGTTCTGACTTCTAGTGACCCTCAACAACCAAACCATGCCCAGTCCTGCAGCGCCCTCTCAGACATTGCTGTCTGAGCCCATTACTGCAGCCACTACGTGAGTCCGTCTTGTGGCGGGTCTGCCTCTTTCATTAACCTTGTACTTTACCCAGCCTGACATCCTTCTCCAGAGACTTGTCCCTCCTAATAACATGTCCAAAGTACATAAAATGAAATTTTGTCCTTCTTGTTGTTGTTGTTATGTGATGTCGAGTCGTTTCTGACCCATAGCGACCCTGTACAGAGTTTCTGAGGCTGTAAATCTTTACAGGAGCAAAAAGTCTCATCGTTCTCCCGCCAAACAGCTGGTAGTTTCGAACTGCCGACCTTAAGGTTCGCAGCCCGATTCGTAACCACTACGCTACCAGAGCTCCTTACATCTAATGCCCTCCTTATATCTTATGAAGTGAACTTTCTGACTGTACTTCTTCCAACGCAGATTTACTTGTCCTTCTGTAAATCCATGGTATATTTAATATTCTTTGCTAACACCATAATTTAAAAGCGTGAATTCTTCTCTGATTATTCTTACTCATTGCCCATCTTTCACATGTATATGAGGTTATTGAAATTACCATGGCTTTGGTCAGGCCACTGTTGCTTTTTAGCACTTTAAAGACTTTTGTAGCAGATTTGCCTAGTGTAATAACATCATTTTTTTGTAGCAGATTTGACTACTGGAATACATCATTTGATTTCTTGACTGCTGCTTCCATGGATGTTGATCATGGACCCAAGTAAAGTGAAACCCTTGACAACTTCAGTCTTCTCTCTGTTACTCACGATGTTGCTTATTGGTCCAGTTAGGAGGATTTCTGTTTTCTGTATGTTGAGGTATATTCCTTATTGAAGGCTGTACTCTTTGAACTTCCTCATTAAGTGCTTCAAGTCTTCTTTGCTTTCAGCAAGCGTGTCCTCTGCATATCACAGATTGCTGATGAAACTTCCTCCAGTCCTGCTTCTTCATATAGCCCAGCTTCTCAGGTTGTTTGCTCTGCATACAGATTGAACAAGTGTGGTGCTAGGATAGAACCCTGGAACACGCCTTTCCTGACTTACAACTATTCGGTCTTCCTTTGTTCTGTTTGGAAGACTGCCTCTTGGTCTATGTATCGGTTCCTCATGAACACAATGAAACGTTGTGGAATTTTCATTCTTCACAATGTTACCCGTTATCGATGTGGCCCGTGCAAAGTCTAATGCCTTATCATAGTCAGTAAAACACAGGTAAAACGTCTTTGTGGTAGTCTCTGCTTTCAGCCAAGATCCAGCTGACATTAGCAACAATAACCCCTCATTCTACATCCTCTTCTGAATCTGGCTTGGCTTTGTGGCAGTTCTCTGGTGATGTACTGCTGTAACCATTTTTAACTATCTTCAACAGATGTGTCCTTACGTGTGATATTAATGATGTTTAATAGTTTCCTATCCTGTTGGGTCTCCTCTCTTTGGAATAGGCACCGATGTGGATCTCTTCTAGTCACTTGACCAGCTGGTTGTCACCAGATTTCTTGGCATAGACAAGTTCACTTCCAGCGTTGCATTTGTTAGTTGGACCATTTTAATTCAATTTCTATCAGGTTCTAGAGTCTGGTTCTTCACAGTGCCTTCAGTACACCTTGGACGTACTGCTTTATAGCTTGTTGTTGTTGTTGTTAGGTGCCATCTAGTCGGTGCCGACTCATAG